TTAGATGGGATGAAACTTTTAACAGCTATTATTTTGATTTTGTTAATGTTTTTAATGTTACAATACTTAAGAACATATAGGGTACTTTCTATTTGTTGAAATTTTGCTCAATGCAATGTGACATAAGTGTAGACTAAGGGTAGTTTTTTGTGTGTTTGGTTTTATTTTTACCAATAGCCTGTGCCTTAGGAAGATTTGTAAAGTTTCATAATGTTATTCTGAATTCAATGTGACACAGTGAAATAACATTATGTCATAGGGCTCATAAACTGAATTCAGGCTGACATTAAAAAATAAATTAATAAAAGTTTTTTTTTTTCATTCTTCTCTGCTCATAAACCTGACTATCATTTTTATTCACTTACACCCTCCTCAGAAAGAGAGAGGGGAAATGGTAAAGGGAAAGCAAATAAAGATTTTGGAGATAAAACAGTAACTAGAAATATGTGCTTCAGAGAACTTTGTATTTAATTTAATTTAATTTTATTTTATTTTATTTTATTTTATTTTATTTTATTTTAAGATGTCATTTAAATTCCAGTTAAATATAGTGTAGTGTTGGTTTCAGGAGGACAATTTAGTGATTTATCACTTACATACAACACCCAGTATTTTGTTTATTGAGTTCAGAAAAGAAAAACTCGGTAAACAAAATATCTTACTCAATGTTAGCCAAACAGTTAAAGTAACTGATATTTATCAAATAGCTACATATTCAAAGGTAGAATATATTTTGGACTTTCTAAATGCATTAACACCATAATCCCTGCATGAATTTGGTTTTAATTAAAACCCTTTTTTACAATTTTATGCTGAGATGTTGAAGGGAGATTTTTTAAGAAACTAATTTAAAGATCACCATGTAACTTATTATTGACGTTTACATATTTATTTATCATCACACACCTAATTTTTCTACGACTCCTAAAGGTAACTACAAGGTAAACTTTTCTGAGAACTTACTGAATATACACACAACTAATTCTATAATACATTCTTCACCCCTCCCCCAAAACTCTAAAGAACTGCAGTTGTTTAAATTAATTTTGAGTTTCTCATGGGCTCTATTCAACATAATTTTTCTAATGGTTCTATTTTCAAGAAATCATTCTGCCATGTTTAATCAAGTCATAATTCTACACGTACATATTTGTACAAACACACAAAATATAATACATACAGCAGATAAATATGTAGGTAGGTATGTAAGTAGGTAGGTAGACAGATGATAGGTAATTTTAGAATTTTGTTACAGAAGTGATCTCCTGGGATATTTGTCTTTTTTTGAGATTTAATAGATGAACTCTGCAAGCTACAATTGTCCTTTCCAAAAGGTTGCCTCTAGGTTTTCCTCACTTAGACATTAAGACAAATGACAACACTAAGAACAAATCTATTCAATTCTTTGGTAATTTGCTGGATGATCAGAATTTTTATGAAAATATTTTTTGGCTGTCCCTTTAAAATGTCGCCAGCGGGGCGCCTGGGTGGCGCAGTCAGTTAAGCGTCCGACTTCAGCCAGGTCACGATCTCGCGGTCCGGGAGTTCGAGCCCCGCGTCGGGCTCTGGGCTGATGGCTCAGAGCCTGGAGCCTGTTTCCGATTCTGTGTCTCCCTCTCTCTCTGCCCCTCCCCCGTTCATGCTCTGTCTCTCTCTGTCCCAAAAATAAATAAACGTTGAAAAAAAATAAAATGTCGCCAGAATCTCACCATTTCTCACAACCTCAATTACTATGCAAGGCATGGTCCATACCTCCATCAACGGTTCCTGGGATTATTTCCGTAGGTTAGTAATTGGTCTATTTCTATCCTTACTTCCTAGTCATTATTCTCAGAACACCACAGTATCCCAGCTTTACAAGGATAGAGGTAATTTAGATCTAAAGTCACCCTGGGCTTTCCCATACCATGATCTAATTCGAGTCCTTGGACTGACTGGCCTATTGGGCTTTCCAAGAAGGGCCCTTTCTCTGCACCTTTGACTTCATTTCTGGCTGGGAACCCTTTCATTAGTGCACTCAACCCACTGGATTACTTGCAGCTGCTGCCCAATCTTTCTGGAACAAGCTTCACTCAGACACTACATGGTTCATTTCCTGCTTCATTCAAGAGTCTGCTGACATTTCATCCTGTCAGAGAAACGTTTTTTGACCACCTCATTATAAGAGCCACCACATGCAGTAATGACTTGTATCCCTGTACCCTGCTCTACGCTTTTCAAGCTTGAATTTATAGCTGCTGTCAGTGATTTTGCATTTATCATCTGTCTTTCCCAACTAAGTGGAAGCTGCTTCAGTTCAGGGATTGGATCTGTTTTGTTTACTGCTTTATACCCAGAATCCAGAGTGGGCTCTCAGATTTAGTGACTTCCCCATCAGTACCTGTTGAATGAAGGAGTGAATGTTAGTTATGGACACTGAACTTTATTTAAATGACAAATTTTATGCCAGCAAAATGGACAATTACTCATCCACTGCAAGAAGAAAAATGTACTTTTTATACTTGGAGATACACATTTCAGACTGGTTTTCTTTATTATGTAAATCAATTTTAATAACGTTATATCATAATTTCATAAATCCTTTTTAATCTCCTTAAGAAAGAGAAGTCTCAAAAAATTAAATCAAAAAATGCAACAAAATAAAATTGTTCAAAAATTTGACTCTTTTTATGAATCTTTCATAAGGCAAAAAGGGAAAAGGTCTGTTCTTACTGCTTTAGTGAGGATGTATAATAGGTAAATATTTACGAAAATTGATTTATATAACTAAATATTTACTTTCAAAGATCAAGCCATTTTGATGTAAAGACTATACTTAGCCATGTTTTCAATTGTGTTAAAAAGTAACACACATTTTCCCACACGTTTTCCCAGGTTGACACTTAGACATCAATGTTTTATTGGCACAGATGATAAATATGTATAAATAAAAATATATAAAATGTGTATAAATATAAAATATAGGTATAACTTTAAATATACATGCATATATAGATTTTAAATATATAGCATACACAATATTGACTCTTCTGTACCTCAATTTTACTTTGTAAATCTACTTATTTTCATACATACATTTTATTAACTGTTGATGTAAAATATTTTCTATTATTTTCTTTATTACTAAGAGAATTCATATTTGCTCCATTTAAATTAACGTTTGTAAGTCATTTAAGTATAGCGCTTTTTGAGAAAAAATAAGTGATAAGATTTTTCATTGACTTTCTACTGAATAGAAAAGAGAAAAATGAGCAAAGCAAGAAGAAACAATAAAGGAGTAAAGTTGATAAGAATGTGACACAGTTTTTAAGAGTACTTTGAAAATTAAACATAAATGTATAATTGTGCTGAATGAGGTCATGTGGTTAAATTAATTTGTAGATAAGGTACAGTTTATGTGCAATAGTGGAAATAAAAAGTGATAAATAATCTATATGAAAATTGTGTTTATTTTCAATATTGTTTTTATTGTCATATATGTCATTTCTTTGTTAAAATTCAGAGTTCCTGAGCACATCTGGAAACATCAACCTCATTCATGGGAATGACTGCAAATATACTTCTTGTAGGTTAAAATAATTTCAGTTATTAAATGTATATGATATACTGCAGTTTGGGTTGAATACAAAATGCTTTGTAGCAGAGGAGAAAACAGTACTAAATTAAATGAGTGTCACTGTTTTTCCTACACTCCATTCTTAAAAATTCCTACAATTTGCTTCACTGATACGGAAACAATCTACACGTCCTAAATACAATTGTGATTTTTCTTTCTCACATTTCCATAACCCTTCTTCAAGCCACTCCCCAACAAAACACAGATGATAACCGGTCTAATATTGACAATTGTGCTCTCCCCTTCTGCGATTCCTCTCTGTATTAATCCCTTTTATTATTATTATTATTATTTTGATAGAGAGAGATAGAGAGAGATGGAGAGCATGCTCTTGAGCAGGGAAGGGCAGAGAGAGAGAAAAGAGAGAATCCCAAGCAGGCTCCGTGCTGTTAGCATGGAGCCCAGCACGTGGCTCCTTATCATGAGCTATGAAATTGTGACCTGAGCAGAAACCGAGAATCAGTTGCTTAACCAACTGAGCCACCCAGGCGCCCCTAACCTGTTTAACATTACTCAGTGGCTTCCCATCAGAGTCCGCCTTTCCTTCCCTCTCCCTCTCCTTTCATCTTTCCCTCTCATTCTCCCTCTCCTTCCTCCTCTCTATCTCTCATTAATCCTTCTTTTCAGTTACCTCCTTGAAACCTCCTCAAGGCCAGCATTACCCTTGTTCATTTCTTCCATTCCTCAGTAGCATAGATTACTGACATAGGGACTCTTCCACTGTGATATAAACCTTTACCAGCAATGTGTGAATTAGATATTTATTTAGACGTTTATCGTCTCAGAAAAGTCATGAGACGGTAAGACCAAAGCTGGTGGGGTTAGAATTTACCTCTAGATCTTAATTTATTTTTTTTTATTTTAAATGTTTGTTGTTGTTGTTGTTGTTTTAATTTTGAGAAAGAGAAAGCCAGTGAGAGGGGAGGGGCAGAGAGGGACGGAGAGAAAGAATCCCAAGCAGGCTCCCTGCTGTTAGTGCAGAACCCAATATGAGGCTCGAAGTCACAAACCATAAGATCATGAGCTGAGCCAAAATCAAGAGTCAGACACTTAACCAACTGAGCCACCCAGGAGCCCCTAGATCTTATTTTAATTAATATATTTGTTTAAGTTTGTAACAATTAAAAATCAAATTACAATTAAATTCTTGTAAGAATTTTTTAATAAATAAATTCATGGACCTGTTTCAACAAAAAATATATATCTGTTGATTTTCAGAATACAAATACCTGAGGAAGTGAATACTTCAGAGCCGTTTGGTCTTTTTTAAATTTAATATACTGCTCATTTAAGGAAATTAAAATTTCTGTCATTTTCAACTTTTAGTCATTTTGTGATTTAATTATTATTGGGTAATCAACTGTTCAAAACCTTGTCTATGTACCTTTTTCAATTTGATGACTCCTTCTTGTGTATCCTCATCTGTGACGATGTCAAACAAATTTCCCCCATCTCCTGGAACAATATTGTATTCAATTTCTGCATTTTGTCCAAAATCAGGATCCACAGCTCTTATTCGTCCAATGGCTGAGCCGATAGGAGAAGACTCGGGAACTTTCAGATGGAAAATACCTGATAAGACATGTATAATTCATGCCATCAGTGGAGTTAGTTAAGTGTATAGTTAGATGACTAGGCTTGAGAAATATACTATATCTAAAGTAAATCACATTTAGAACATAATAGTGCCAAATCGAAAAGGAATTTGCTGTCAAGTTAAGAATTATGAGTAGGAGTAATAACTTCACTTTTCACTTCCATAGGTCCTGCTCTAGAATTTTAATTGGGAATTATAACTAGTAAAGTGTGTTCAATTTAAATTAGCGTGAGGAAGTATTTTAAATACTAACAGCCTCAAAGTGTACCTAATAATAAACGGAAGGGCAGGAACATCCATGTAATTAAATGGTACCAATAGGGTAGAATCCGGGACACAAGACAGAGATAAAATAAAGATAGATGACAGATTGATAGATATTTATAGAAAGTTAAGGTTGTATTTTCTAATATATATATAAATGTTTTATATTTTTCTTATATATTCCATAGAGAGTATGTACTCAGTAAGTGTAAATCATTAAGCTAAAAAAAACCTGTTAAGATAGTTGACCAAAATTTTAATCTATGATGGATTTAAGTATATTATTAATTGACTAATATTCAATTTGTGTTTAGTATCTAGTAAATTTTTTCTGGGTATACTACAAGCTACTTTTATACACATATAAGATCAGGATATCAAGTTCATTCTGCTCCATTATTTATTTATTTATTTATTTTAGCATTAAGAAAAAAAAAGAAATGTTTATTTTCACCACCAGGTGGAGCACGTACATTACTATGAATTTGATACTGAGTCAGAAAAACCTAGAAAAATTTCTATCTATATAAAATATACCAGAATCAGGAAAATTTGGAATATCCTCTAAAAATGAAAATATATACATTGCTTAAAGGAGTTTTATAAATTGTGTATGGCATAACATGAAAAAGATATAGGCTATTTTACTGACTTGTCATCAAAATCAATATTAAATGGTTAAATGACAGTCTATTTATATTAAAATAAGGAAAGGAAGAGTGTGGAAGGAAATAAAAGTGAAAAAAAAAACTAAACTCAAAATACAAAATTTGATTTTTATATCTTCTTTCCAGTTTTAATTTCTATTAATGTACTTTGGATTGTACCTTCTCATGGCTAAAGCAACCACCGTAATTCACTTGTTTAGAACTTCTAGTTACATTCATAGCAATTAAGGTAGGAAGACCTTTAATATGTTTATTGAATGGTGAAGTTCATTCATCAAATTGCATTACAATATTTTGGTTATAGGCTTCAAGAAATATGAGGAAAAAATGCTCAATCACACCTTGTGGACATTTTGTTAAATATTTTCCATTTTATTCCCAATTACTTTGTTTTTCTCTTATAGTTCTTTCACAGTTTCAAAATGGGGTAATTTCATTAGCCCTGGTAGCATTAAATCTTTCAACTACCGCTCACCGCCCCCCCAACATAGATATCTACCACTTGCACAAATACTGCTAAAATTAGCCTTGTTTACATTCAATGGACATTACCTCATCCAAAAATATAATTAATATTAAAAGATCTAAATATTTACCTAAATTCGGCTGATTTCATGTAAAACAGAGTGTAGATTTTTACAGCAGTCTGAAAATAGTTGTTCAATTAATTTGATAATTAATTAACAGTATACCTGCCTTCAAAGGGGAGTATGTCAAATCTTTCTAAAAGAACACATTTAAAAGTTAATAAACAAATCAGAACATAGGCAAGTAATAACAATAATGCAAGTGGTAATAATGGAGTGTTACATAGGCATTAGGAAAGGATTTTGATTAAATAAGTCATATCACATGATCAAGCTGGCAACTTTTCATAGGCTACGACTATGTTTCATTAGGTTTTATTCCCTAAACACTTCACGCAGTGGCTGTCATAGAGATGCTCAAAGTTCGCAGGATTTAAAGTAGCTTTGGACTGGAGGCTACCAGAGCAAAGAGGAAGAATAAAGTCACAGGTTGCAATGTATACACATTGTCTAAGAAAAAGGTAACAACAGGTATCCAAGTGAAATTGAGTTCAAATAGCCATGATCACATAAGCAGGACCTAATGTGACTTTTACAGCCTACTTTTCTAGAGTGTTAAGTGCTTCACAATAGCCTAAACACTGATCGTATGGAAGCACTTCTGAGCTACTAGCAAATATAAGGATGCCTGACTTCTTGTTTAACATGGCTGGAAAGCCTGCAACAGTTATTTAAACTTGTACTAAACTTCTCATATATGTGATTCTTTTTATTTTCTTTTTTTCTTCCTTTCTTAATATCTGTTAAGTAGAAGTATCACTTGTCAGAAACACGTCCACCACTTTTGCCTTTTGGGTGATTGTGATAAAGAACCTGAAGAAACACCAAAAGCCTTGATGCTCTACTACACTTAGTCATAGTTCAATGTCATGGTATATCAATAAGTGTTAAGAAAGGTGTTGAGTTTTTTTTTTTCCTGATAAAATAGAGTAATGGAAGTATGCTGAATAATGTACTGTACATCCTTCTTTCACATGATATTTAGTTAGGAAATGACCAAAAACGTTATCAAAGACACAGCTGACAGACAGTGATTTGAGTGAAGGAGGCAGCTGCTGAGGGTAATGGATTTCAAACCTCAAACATGGCCAGCAGTGCAAGGTGATGATGGTGGTGCGGACTGAGGTAGGGGGAGGTTGGATGGGATCTTTAGAAAAATATGGACATCTAACTTAAAGTATGTATAATTTTTCTGCTTACTCTATCTAATCCATTCAATAGGAACAAATTCAGATTACATATTTGCTTTATGAGTTAGATTTCATTTGAACGATTAAAAGCAAAATTAAAAGAATCAAAAATCAAGGGAAATAATCTAGTCTGGCATCATCATTAAGAGATTATGGTTAGCGGAGGTAAAAAAAAAAAAAAAATTAGCCAGAATTGAGACCCTCCAATTTAAGAAGAATTTTTAGATATCTGAAGGACATCGGATAATGCAGACTTTAAATGAGAGTTCCCCTTTTCAAGACAATATGCTGAGATATGAGTTTTGGGTTTTACAAAAGGAAATTTATGAAGCCACTAACAATAAATGTGAAGATGGCTATTCCTTGTAGTATTATGTCAATAGTAAGTTAAATAGCAGTTTCTTAAAAAGTGGTCAGCATATAGCATGCCTATAAATTTTATAATCATCTGATGGCACTGGAAAACTTGTAATAAACTGAAATGCCAGCATTCTCCAAAAAAACCTGACTCAAAAGCACTCACTAACATGTCCCACCAAAATTAAGATATAATAAAAGTGAAAACAGTGATTTACCATGTACATCTTTTTTGTGTATTGAGGTTTTAGTGTACATAAAACATAAATGTACAGAGCACTGAATTTCCTGTTCTTTGGGATAGCACATTTTAGTAGGGTGGAAGACATAGTCATTAAGCCAAGCATTTCCAAATAAAATACTGTAGTTAGAAATAAAGTCTCCAGAATATGGAACAAATCAGAGAAACTATGCATTAGTCATGTCATATTTTTTTAGGCTCTGTCGGTTTATTTCCAGTGACTTGACATTTTATCATTTCTAGAAACTCGACAGCAAATAAAGCTGGGGTCATTCAGATTAATTCAAAACTGAAGTAATCTTCAGCTGTGCCAAAGTTGGATCGCTTGTGATGGACTGTGTCATTACAGTTCCATCAACTTCTGCGTGTCCTACTTTTGATGCATATGAAACATCTTGATGGCACTACCCGTACAAGACAGATTAAGAAATGAAACAGGTGACAAGAAATTGTTCAGAGTCAATAAGGATATATGCTTACATACTCATCAAATATACATGCTATGCTTAAAAGAAAAAAAATTTCTCATGGAAAACGAGAAAACTGCATGTCGTGAACTAAGATGGAATTATAGTGATCAAATTCTAAAACTTCTTACAGATAATGCTCCCTCTTAATTCCAAAGGTAAAAGTATCGATTATTCACTTATAGGCTAAATGAGTATCTTCTCAGGAACTTTGTTGTTTCAAAAAATGTACTTGGGGTCCCTGGGTGGCTCAGTTAGTTAAGAGTCCGACTTCGACTCAGGTCATGATTTCATGGTTCCTGGGTTTGAGCCCCGCGTCGGGCTCTGTGCTGACAGCTCAGAGCCTGGAGCCTGCTTCGGATTCTGTGTCTCCTTCTCTCTCTGCCCCTCCGCAGCTCGTGCTCTGTCTCTGTCTCTGTCTCTCTGTCTCTCTCTCTCTCAAAAATAAACATTAAAAAATTAAAAAAATAAAATTAAATAAAATTAAAAAAATGTATTTTGATTATTAGGACTCACACTGGTTTTGTGTATGTGTCAGGGAGCATTCAGTGACACCTAAGGAAAAAGGATATACAATAGGCTTTCCTTCTCTGAATTCTTTGGAATATTTCCAAGCATTGATATAAATACCAAAAGAGATACATCTACTTAACAAAACATAAATTAATATGTTTTAAGCTACTCAGAAATAAAAGTTGCAGGACTTGCAAAAATATATTAAGTTAATGAATAAACTATGTAATGCAGTGACAACATTTAGTAATAAAAACAGCAAATATAAAGAAAATAGAACAATCCATTACAAATTCTCTTTTGAAATACATTTTATGTTTATTGTAATAACTAATATTACTCAAAAATAATATGTAAGAAGTCAATGTTCAGCTGCACAGAAAACTTACTATACTTAGGAATATGAAAACATATTATTTGAGATCTCGTAAATAGATGATTGCTTGAAGTGCTACATGTATGTTTAAACTTTTGAAAATAATGTATATTACCATAAAACTGTTGATTCAGTGATTCAATTCAAACATTTAATTGTTCAAATAGTCATCCCACATGTTTGTGTGTATGTGACTTACCATATAATGACATAGAAATAAATGTTTCTTTCTCAATATTTTATTGTTTTAATTTCATAAGCAAAGATAATAATAGCACACAAAATGATTTCACCTTATCTAAAGAAAAGAAA